GGGCAATACCAGTGATCGTTATAATTCTTAGTTTAAAAAAATCACAAAAAATCTTATTTTTAAAGAAAGTGTAGACTATGTTTATTCTAGTAAATGATATACGTAATTTAATAACCCATATTCATAGTCATATTTCAAAAATTGTTAAAATTATACAGGATTATTCATAAATATGAAACAATATTTGAACCTCAAAAATGAGCTATAAAATTATGTTAATTTAAAATTTAAATAATAACTCGTGTCCGATCTCTAGTAAGAATTTTACAGCCTTCGGAATGTGGGTATGGAATTTTTTTTTTTTTTTGTAATAACCATTTATCCTTAAGAAGCTGTGATAAAATTTTGTCGGTGTATTCAAGAATCACCCTGTATAGCAATTAATACTTTTATGTTCTATTTTGTGTGAAATTTAAATAAAGCATTTACACTTGATAAAAGAATCTTAATTTTTAAGACATTTATGGTGATTATCTACATTTCAAATGGAAAAGTTGACACACACTTCTGCTAATACTTGTTTGGTATGTAATTAGCCTAATTATGCATATGATTACTCTTGTTACCAGACTATTTGGCTAAAGTTTTTTCTTAGTTTTCATTGTTGTAGTAAAAAAAACTCGTTTATTGTCCTGATTTTTACGCATCCTTTAATCTTATTAATAAAGGTAATTACAGTCTATTTACTTAACACAATACAGGTGTGGGTAGGAAATACCATAATTAAAATACCAGTATTGTTTGAACACCAGGGTCAGTGTAGTGGACTTTGAATGTCGTCTAGTAAGCAAATTTTCAAACTGGAACAGGTATTTTACAATTATATGTTCTCCTGTTTAATGGAGCCTTTAACAGAAGAATTGTTGTTGTCACGCTTTGTAATATATTTTTGTTGCCAATTATTTCTCGAGTACATGTGGGATCGTCCACTATTTATTTATAAAACGTTACATGGACTGTTAGTTGCAATAAAACAAATCGCGATGACGTGATTAAGTATAATATAATTTTTAGGTATTAGCAAGCAACAAATTCCAAGCCACTTAATCGACCAGTTGATTGAAGACATCAGAACAATTCAATTCGATCAAAATGAAGCAATCCGTTTATTATTTCGATATTGTTGATTATATTATTTTTGGGGCTATGTTATTTCTGTCGGCCCTGACAGGTATTTATTTTGGGTGTAGAGGAAAAATCAACAAGAAGCGGGAACCAGAATCTCTTAAAGATTATCTAACAGGAAATAGAAATCTCAAACCTTTTCCGGTTGCCATGTCGCTAATTGCAAGGTAAGTTTTTTTGACTTTTTATTGACTTGGTAATTTATTACTGTTAATCAATTTTAGTTACATATCAGGGGTTACAATGCTTGGAACCCCGGCTGAAGTGTATAATTTTGGAGCTCAGTATTGGTTAATAGTTTTTGCAATGTCCCTTAGTGGGCTTACAGTGGCTACCGTTTATCTACCAGTATTTACCAAACTACAAGTTTGTTCTTCATACGAGGTAATTTAATCATTTCAATGGAAAATTTAGCATTGTTATAGTATACGAGTCTATGAAAAGAATTATTTGGCCATACTCGTATTTAATAGTATAAAAAGCAAGCATTATTATCGAATTTAAAAGTTTATACAGGGTTGGTCCAAAAATCTGGAAACGATTTTATTCTGGCGAAACTATCAATTTTTTTGGCAAATAAATTTATAGGTGTGCAACGGCTATAAAAATGCTATTCAAAAAAAAATATTATTATTAATTAATTGTTTATACTTATGAGATAAACATAGCAACTATTTTTTTTTAAATGGAAACCTACCACAAATTTTTTTTTAGACAAGGAGCTTATTACAAGAATTGTTGTTGTACAATTTTTTTTTTGTAAACCTCACACTTTTTTGTTAAAAAAATTTTTGACTTACAAGAATTAAAGAATTTTTTTGAGTAAACTACCAGTTTTTTTGGAAATAAATTAATAAATGTTTAAAGGTTGTATAGACGTCTATTCGTCTGTTCGCCTAGTAAACTGGTAGTTTACTCAAAAAATTTTTCGACAGAATAGTCTTTTATTTCATCGAATCTACACGCTACCTTTTTTAAAAGTGGACTCGTCCGAGACGCGTTTTGGTACACGCCTTGGTGTGTACTTCTAGCTTCTACCTCACTTTATTCATCAAACTTTCGATAGAGTTGTTACAAAAATCACCATTACAACTTTGTTTTTAATTATTAGGATTTTAACTTTTTTTATACCTATACCTAAAGCATAATTCGTTTAAATCGATTTTCTTACGACCATATACGAAACTAGATCATAACGCACAATTATATATGCGCGGAAATTGGCAATATCGTACGAGGTCAAAAACCTGTGCGTTTTGTTTTCGCACTGTGTGTTAGAAATCTAACGCACAATTCACACTCGATTGTTTTATATTTTTTCATTCAACGTATTTTTTTTTGTATCCATTATAAAAAATAAATCGTTATTCAACGTATTGTTGTATCCATTATAAAAAATAAATCGTTATGAAAAAAAATATTTATGGTCGTAGGAAAAATAGTGTACAAAACTTGCAGGAAAATGTTTAACGCACTCGCAGCTAACGCCTCGTGCGCAACTTTATTTATCACTTTCCGTGCTCGTTATGTAATATACTATTGTTACTTAATTTGCACCTTCACCTTTAAAATCATGTAGTATTTATTTGGAATACTAAAATTTCAGTCGTGAGTTCTTGCTTGAGTAGGTAGTAACATAAATAACTATTTTTTCAATTATTTACTATGAAACGAAATAAAGTCTTGGTATTTTTAGTATGTAGGCTGATTATTATTATTTTTTTATTCATTTCTTAGTTTTGTTAGAACAAAACACTCTTTAACATTGTTGGTTTGTTTCAGTATTTGGAGCTAAGATTCAGCAAGATCCTACGAACAATAGCGTCCCTTTTATTCCTATTAGACGAAGTAAGTCTTACGTTTAGGTGGTCCTAAATAAATTAATATTTTAATATGCCAGGTTTTCTGCAGATCATGTTTTTGCCAATGTTGATCTACGTTCCATCTCTTGCATTTAATCAAGGTAAATGTTTTAAACATATATGACAAAAAAATTATCCACTATTTTATAAACGCAGTCTCTGGAGCAAATCTTCATGTGATTGGTGCAATCGTCTGTACAGTTTGTATCTTTTATACAATTTTGGTAAGCAGTTGGAATATTTGTAGAGATAATAAAAGTTGAATACTTTTTCAATACTTAGGGTGGTTTGAGAGCTGTGGTTTACACCGACACTTGGCAAACTGTAGTTATGTTTATTTCTGACATGGTGGTCATAATATTGGGAGTCGTTGCTGTGGGAGGAATAAGTGTTATTATTGACCGGTCCTATGCTGGTAATAGGATTCAATCACTGAAGTGGGCTTAACTTTATTCGAAAACTCAATTTTTAAAACATTTTTTTTAGTTTTAATCCCAGTATGTATGAGAGATATACAGTATTTAGCATTCTGATTGGAGGATTTACATACTGGACTTCCTTCAATGCTGTCAACCAGACAATGGTACAAAGATACTTATCTCTACCAAATAATAAAGAGGCTAGAATGTATGTCTTCAGAATTATTTCATAGCTAGTCTTAACATTTTTCATTTTCTAGAGCTATAGCTATATTTACAGTAGGTGTTGTATTTTTTATATCAATGTGTTGCTTTGCTGGCCTTCTTCTATTCAGCACATATCATGACTGTGATCCTCTAGTAGCAAGCAGAATATTAAACAGTGATCAATTACTTCCTTTATTTGTTGTTGAAACTGCGGGGCATTTAAGAGGCGTTCCTGGACTTTTTATTGCTGGTGTTTTTGGAGCTGCATTAAGGTAATAGTATATTATAACACAAGGTAGAGAAGAGATTTTTTTTATAAAAATCTTCTCCGTGTTTTATATAACGTTTTTTTCACTACTAGCACACAGAAATACAACCGTGAAAAATATAACATGTCGTAATTCACAACTACATTTTTTGGTAATTTCAACTTAAGTTGGAAGTATTATTTTCTTCTTATCATAAATGAGATTATGTCACTTTTGTATACCTACTCGTTTTCATATTAATGTGTAGTCGTTGAAAGGATCATTTTAATCATGCAAAAAATTAAACAATCCTAATCTCAAATTTCCCTAATAATTAAATAAATGTGTGCCCCAGGTAGCAAAAAATAATTAAAATTAACAACATAATTAACATAGGGTAGCAAACATAAAGATTTTTGTCATTATTAATGTGCTTAATTTTGTTCTCAATGACATACAGTGGCGGACACGGAATTTTGGACATCAAATTTATGTCAATTCAAAAAATGTCAATGTACACTTAAGGCAAAAAAAAACGCAAATTGTCAAAACCAAAATTGTCAAATTTTTAAGAGATTTACATAGGTTGTTCCCAAAAAGGTTAGAAAACTATCAAAAGAAATGTCGTATTTGGTGGTTTTGCTAGTGCAGAGTCATAGTCAATGTTAAAAACGAAATGGAAAACATGGAAAAACTTGATAGAAGAAGATGGTTGACAATTATGAAATTGTGAATTGTGACAAAGAACGTCAAAAACTGTCATTTATTAACAGGCCAAATTACATTATAAAAAAAATCAATTTTCATTTTTTTGCACTCAAGTGTAAGCCACGTTTCATTGTCATTATTATTGACGTTTGAAACTTAAAGTTGAAAGTTTTAGTTGAAATTTATTTTTGGAATCGATTTTCCGAAACAATAATGCCAGCAATACGTGTTTTTATATAAGTTCAATAAATTATTTTGATTTGTTGTCATTTTTTCTTTCGCTCTCAGGATAAAAATTACAAAAACCGAAAGTGAGGTTAGTTGCCTAAGGCCCGTGTTACACTTTTATGTCAGTCGAATGGCAAATCGTCCAAAATTCCGTGTCCGCCAGTGTATTAACGACATTTTTTGTGTAAATCAGCCTTTAAATTAAAGATTCATTTAGACTACTACAATACTTGATGCATATTAATATGAAAAAGACTATAGGTTTGTCAAGAAGAAATTACCACCTAGGATATGAATTTTTAGAAAAATTACGTTTTTCATGTTGTTTTGTAACTAGAATTTACAGAAGTAATTTTAAATGTCTAGGGTTGGTTAGCTCTTGTTGTTGACGGTTGAGGTTTCCTGTCAACCAACTGTCAACTGAGTTATCTATACAAGCTGACAGATGACTTAACCAAAATTTTTGACACTAGTTACAATATCTTTTGTTTGTCACTACAAACCAACTTAACCAAATTTATTGCAACCTATTCACAAATATCCCTAAATCCTAGGGAGTAATTTCTTGTTGATACAATATACTTCTGCAACTATTAAAGGAATTTTCTAACTTCATACCATGAAATATTTGTTAAAATAACAAAGAAACTGCAAAGAAAAGGGAAACAGTGTTAAAATTTGCCTCACTATTTAAATAAACCCATTTGTTGCTTTGACAGTTTTGTCATAGACAGAAAGGTTAGAGGTGGGCTTATTCTGATGTTTTTAATGAGTTAATTTAAGTCTTTTTTATTTGATTTTGCATTAATTTCATCTCGAAATACTTCCGTTAATAGTTGTGATGGTAATAGTTTTAAATAATAATATTCGTATCAATGTAATACCCTCCAACATCACCTCTAATACATTATAGCTCTTGGTCTGTAATGAAAATGATTATTGACTACTAGGAGAGAAAAACAACCTCTTGACAAACTAATGGTATTTTTTACAGCTAGTAGTGAAAAAAATACTACTATACTACAAGTTTTGATGTTGTATTTTCAGTTCTTTATCTGTTGTCTTAAACTCATCAGCTGTTGTTTTGTTAGAAGATTTTTTTCGCGGAGTTTGTCATTGCAGTATAACGGAGAAGAAAGGAAAATTATTTTCGAAGTGCATAGTATTAATTCTAGGAGTTGCATCTGTATGTCTTGTTTTTGTTGTTGAAAAAATGGGTGGAGTTTTTGAAGTAAGTGTAAGAAAATGTTGAAAAACGTGTCGTAATTTTTTTTTAGGTTGCAACTTCTCTTTCGGCAATTGTTGCAGGAACAATGTTTGGTGTCTTTACCCTTGGAATGCTAGTACCTTGGGCTAACGTCAAGGGGGCAATAGCGGGAGCAGTTTGCGGTTTTTTAATGTCTTGTATTGTCTCTTACGGGCAAATGTATGTTGCTTCTGCCAAAATGGTAGTTCCTCGCACACTTCCTGTGTCTATAGAGGGCTGTGCTGCAACTTATGGTCTCAATGTCACCGAACCGCCTGAAATAGTAGGACCTTTTTCACTTAATAATTCGTTGTTTTATTGTTTTTTTGTGTAGGAGTATCCGGATGAAAGCACAGTTTTTCCCCTGTTTCGGTTGTCTTTCCTGTGGATAACACCCATAGGTGTTTTCACTGTGATCGTTGTTGGTATCATAACGAGTTTTCTAACGGGAAAAACTGACTTGAAAACTTTGGACCCGGAGCTAATATCTCCCGTAATGCATTGGGTACTGCCTAAGGAGGCACAAAATTATGCAGGTTCTGCTGTGAGGAAAATTAAACATCAACGATTGTTTGGAAGTGAGGCAATTGTAACGCCTTCAGTAACAATGAATTTAAATGTAAGCTAACATTTTTTTTCATTTACTTTACTTACGACTTTTTGTAGGAGAGAAGGGAAACGGAAAGTCCAGACAACAGATAAAAAACAAAAAGTGTTGTGTGATTTTCTGAAAATTATCTCCATTTTGTATAAATGTTGTATGTACTTGATGTAAAAAACATTTTATTAATAAAATCTAAATGTAAAGCTTGGTGATCTGCCTGCAGGCAACGACTGGTTTGCAAATGATAGGTAGTCAAAAACAAACATTATTAATTCTCTTCAAAGTGGAAACTACTAGAGGGTAGTTTAGATACGTGTTATTAATGTAAACCGTTTATCTTTAACTGATGGTTGATTTGTACGGTGGTCAAGGGCCTCGCGCCACTGTTTATATTTGCAAAGCTTGACGGATATGTAAACTCCTACAATCTCTAGGCAAATAAGACTGCGTTTCCTTTCATCTTGAGATCCAGGGACGTAACTACAGGTGGGCCTAAAATTGTGTCTTTGGCCCACCTGCTTCAAAATCAAAAAACATTTTAAATCTTTATAAGGAAAATAAAATCTACTGTTTGTACAGTTGGAGACAACATACTTTGGTCGTTATTAAATTGTGAAGCATGCTTTAGGACTGTTAACCTTATTTTTAGCTACTGTCAATCATAGTTGACAAGTTGTACATACTTTTGAAAGGAAAATATAATAGGTGTTATTAATTTGAAATTCTCAGTCATTTTAACGTTAAAGCTTGAATTACATTAAAGTGTCAGAAAAGTGACGATCAAAGTATTTTGTCTCCAACTGTACAACTTTGACATTTTTATAGAAATATTAGTTTCTGGGCTATTTTTGATTTTGTTAACTGTTATTTGCCGCAAAAAATGACTTCTACTTCATCGAAAGTCCGTTTTTTTTTTTAATGGAAATGCCAAACAGTCTTAACGTTGGAACCACTAGTAAATTCATTCATGGTAATTTTAATAAAGGAAGTTGGCAGTTCCGGTGTTGTGAATTATTTTGAAAACAATCTCATTAAAAGGGCCCTTTAAAATGTAGACGCAATTTTTGCTAAACATTCTCAATTTTTAGCAAGAAATTGACAAGAATACAAAATAAACATGAATGAGAAAGAACCTTGGAAAGAATGCAATTAAATTAGTGTCTTGTGCATTGTTTTTGAGAAACGAGTTGAAAAAGTAACAATTTTGAAACTAAATCCTAAGAAGAATTTATAAAATGCATCAACTTTGAGCTCATTTCAATAAATTACATAAAATTTATTGCCAATCATCATAATACCTACTTGTATCTTTTGCTAAATAACTTTTTTCTGTATAAACATCCTTTTTCTTCAAAGTTTTTGTAGCAAAAACTTAATTTTTGCCCACAACATTGTACTTACTTAAAATTATTATTAGCACTGAATTCTGTCTTTAGACCTTAGGTAATCCTCAGGTATTCAATTATAGCGCTTTCAAAGAGCAAACAGGCACACAAGATTCATAAAAAAAACATCTCCATTTGAAAACATAACGATAATTTTTTAACAAAATTTCTGGAGACAAAAACAAACAAGCTGCTACCAATTTTTTCACCAAAATTTTGACTTAAAGAACAAACAGACTTTATCTTAAAAAAATTGAGTGACGCTTCCACAGGCATACAAACAACATGAATAAATTACTAAATGAGAATTATAATAATATAGAGTTGGCAATTTTTGGGTGTATTTAGTTGATTAGGTTTTGAAAATGAATGAAGTGGAGAGCAAAGATTAGTGCAAATAGCGGTCAGATGTGATATTATTTGAACAGAATTCATAGGATCTATTTACAATGTCGACATTGTAAATAGACAGTTTCACATCGTATAGGTAAAGATATAACGTAATGGAAAGTAAACAATTATGTACTCTGAGATACAACTGGAACTGGACGTTTGTTTTAGGTACCTAACCTTTGAAATAATAATCATACCATTTAATAACTTCCTTACGGCACTGAATAATTAGAATTAATTATAATCTACACATAGTAAAGGTTTTAAAATAAGAAATATTGCAGTTTAAATTCTTCTTAGTTAGAAAGATTTCAAGACATTTTTATTGTTTACTGTTACTGAGGACAATTTGATCTTTAGGTTCAAAATTATAAAGTTAAAATATCAATATATTTTGAGCTGTTTTAGCTTCTTGTAAATAATAGTTCTAACTATTGAAATTTCAAGAAATTTGACCGATTACAATGCCTCCAAAAAATTAAGAATCGGCACAGATTTATGTTTTTTAAATTTATTCTACGACCTTTCAATGTCTTTAATTAAAATCAAATTTAACTCTTTTCCAACTTTACATTTGTCTACTAGGCAACACACAATCCTACAATTTGTTGTTTTCATGCAGAAACTTCATTTTTTATTTTAGTTTTACCTTACTCAAAAGAACATTTAATTTCTATTTATAATTTAATAAATACTTACTGTTGCACTCAAAAATCATAAAAACACACACTTAACTTAGCGATAACTCACCTTATGGCATCTTCTTCTGCTACCATTTGTAGCGATTCTCCTCTACTTCATAGAACGGACCTACTGAAATTTAAAAAAAAAATTAATTCAATCTGTTATTAAATTAATTGAATATCTGAAAACAATTTAATAAGTGTAATTTTTCTAAAAAATCATAAGGTATTTTTGACTTACCCTTTAATCCTGACCCTTGTAGCACGATTGACTTCTCCATTTCCCTCATTGGGACCCAATAAACACTCGAAATTTTAAAAATCGCGCACTACTAAATGTCTGTTACACTCGAAAATACACAACACACACTTGAATTTCTGAAACAAATAAAATGTAACCATTTATTCTGGAACAAAATTGAGTTCGTACAATACTTGGATTTGTTCTTGTTGATGTTTCTTTAATGTAGTTGTCTTCTACAAATTTTGAAATTTAATTTGAAAAATAAAACATTTTATCGCAAAATTATATTCATAATTTGACATATACTTACTGTTGCACTCGAAAAACACAAATTCTCACACTGCTCCTTGCAATAAACAAAAAAAAAAATCAAAATGCACTGACCTTCATGGCATCTTCTTCTGCTACCCTTTGTAGCAATTTGACTCTGCTTCTTACACGGACCTACTGAAAATAAAGAAACACAAAATCAGTTTAATATGTTATTTATTAAATCAGTTGAAAATATTAAATAAAACTTAAAAAGGGTAAGTTTTTGGAAAAATTAATAGTAACTGTTGACTTACCCTTTAATCCGGACTCTTGTAGCATGATTGACTTCCCCATTTCTTCCATTGGCTCTCAGTAATCACCCGTGCACTACTAAATGTCTATTAGCACTCGAAAATACAGAACACGATTTCGCACTAAACCACTAAATAATAAGTAATAATTTATCCGGCAAGTGATTCGTACGGGAGCTTGGCTAAGACTGACTCGTTATTGTAATAATTTCCCCAAAAACGGCACAAAAACTATTTCGTAATAGTTCCGGTGAAAAAGGCCTTTGTTCGGAGCTACGTAATCCCGCCATTTGCAACGTCATTAAAGTAATTTGAATATTACCCAATTCCACCGTCATTATTTTTTTGCGCCCTTTTTACACAACAAACTCCGACTTGCCTGACATGACGTCACGATGCTTGCATCTGATTGGCTACGGAATAACGTTTTGATGAAAATAGTCGTTCCTCACAAAATTTAAGCCAATCAAAATTTTCAAATTTTTGCGATTCACTCAATCAGATTCAAATTAGGTACGGGATAATTCAAAATTCAGCACGTGTGCAAATTATCGATAATTTGTGTGTGTGCTAAATTATCGCAAATCTGATTGGATGAATCACAGAAATTTGAAAGAATTGATTTAGATAAATTACTTATTTTTTTGCCAAATATTTTTTTTTAATTCCTCATAATGAAAATATTGTTTTTATAAATTTTGTATAGAACATTGATAGATATTTACTAATCTAGTCCATCGTCTAAAATTATTTTCAACTATACAGCGTGTCTTAAAAATAAGTTACAATACAAACTTGTGTTTTTTTGAATGAAACACCATATGTTTTTTAGTATTTTTGGATGTACATTTTTATGACAATGTTTTTAAGCTAAACTATTGGTCGATTTTCCTTAGTTTTAAAAATGAGACGGTTCTTTGACGAAAACACTTTTTAAAAATTCGTTACACAAAAACTAAAACATCTAGAAATATTTTTTTTACTATCGCAAAAAAGAAGGTACAAGCGACTATAAGGTTGTAACTTTTCGAAAACGGTTTTCCATATTAACACCATATTTTTCAGTAAGAGACGGAATTATATCGAAATATTTAAACAAAAATAAACCGAAAAGTCACCAAATTAAGTGGAAAATAATGAATTTTGCTTGTTTACATCACGTTTTTTTTTGTAAGACATATTGAAAATTACCAAATGCCATTTTTTATGATTTTTTGGGCGTTTCGGCACGTTTTTCAATTAAAAATTTACAAAATTATTTCGTCAGAAATCGCTAAATTTACTCAAAAATGGTATTATATTTACTTTTTTAAATTGTGCTAAAAAATTTGTTCAAAAAAATACTATTTTTCCGTTTTAGGACGTTTTTTAGTCGAAATCGTAATTGTTTTGAAAATTTTTATCGAAAATGAGGTAAAAAATGAATAAACTATCACGAAACTAACATTATTTTTGCTTCTTTGGAGAGTTTAAGCATGTTTTTGAGCCTGGTTGCTGTTCCAAAAGTTTTAGCGGATTTTTCAATAAAAGGCACAAAACTTCGGCAAAAATAAGCCGAAAAATCACATAATTAATTCGAAAATGATGTTATTTTTGCTTTTTTCAAACATTTAGTTACGTTTTTAAGTCTAAAACAATGTTTTTTCTTTAATTTTTGCTAAAAAACATACCAAAAAATTAATACATGTACCAGACTAAATAAAAAACGACATAATTTATGCGTTTTAAAACATTTTTCAATAAAAAACGCAATTATTTCGCAAAATTTTGTCAAGAATACGCCGGAAAGTAATTGAATTAAGTAAAATGAATATTATTTGTGCTTTTTTTAAACATTTATTTATTATTATTTATTTATTTATTTAAACATATTTTAACACCTTTATCCACTGTTTATTCAACAATCCAAGTTGTACATAACGTCTTCAGCATTTGGTAAT